GCAATGGATGATGGGAAATGTAGTCCGTGGTGACGTGTAACAGTCTGTGTAGTGAGAGAGTCAATATGATGGATGAGTGACCTCTGGTGGCGATCGGACGGAAGTCCATGGACAGGATTCGTAACGGGCACCTAGCTGAAATAAAATAAGTTTTTTTTTTTTTTTACTTAACGTCTATTTCAAGTAATGAAAATATCTTTTATGGTTTTAGTTTCAGTTTTAGTCTACTAAAACAACCCTGATTTGAACATCATTATTGGATTCGATTTTATCCTATAAGCGTTACTTTCACTTTCTTTTCTCAGACAGAGAAAGGAAAAATGTCTTCTGGTTTGATAATGCGCCTTCCCATAATGCATTGCAGATGCAAATGCAAAACGAAGTGTTCAGGAAAACATTCAAGGCTAAATACAAACAGTGAATGTGATATGAATCTCTAGCACTGTGTTTTCTGATGTTTCCTCGTTCCAGGTTCTGCACGAAACTTTTCCACAGCACACGTTCCTCATGAACGGCCTCATTCAGGGCGTCAAGGTGAATCCAGTTCATCTGTTGCTGGATAGTTGCATGCATTTGATGTGTTGTAATTAGGTTGACTTGAGAAAGCCAACCTACTGATCTGCTACTTAAGCTTTTTATTCTTCTTCTTCTTCTTAGATTAAATTTCTGCAAACATGCTAATCATGCTAGAAACACGTTATCAACATTTATATAATCTATCTAAATGTTCAAACTTCAGGCTTTTACAACTGCTTTAAACTTTCAGGCTAGGCTTTCTCAAGCCAACCTACTAGCACTGTGTTTTCTGATGTTTCCTCGTTCCAGGTTCTGCACGAAACTTTTCCACAGCACACGTTCCTCATGAACGGCCTCATTCAGGGCGTCAAGGTGAATCCAGTTCATCTGTTGCTGGATAGTTGCATGCATTTGATGTGTTGTAATTAGGTTGACTTGAGAAAGCCAACCTACTGATCTGCTACTTAAGCTTTTTATTCTTCTTCTTCTTCTTAGATTAAATTTCTGAATGCTACTCCTCCTAGAGCTTTCAAGCTACAACCACCAAACTCAGCCCAGCTCTTCAGACTGATCTGACTTAGTGTGCCTTATCTTTTCAGACTGATCTGATCTATCTATCTATCCTAGCGACATGCTAATCATGTTAGAAACATGCTAATCATGCTAGAAACATGCTAGTAACTTGCTAATCATGCTAGCAACATGCTAGTAGCATGATAAGCATGTTAGAAACATGCTAGCGACATGCTAGTCACTTGCTAATCATGTTAGCGACATGTTAGTCATTTGCTAATCATGCTAACGACATGCTAGTCACTTGTTAATCATGCTAGCGACATGCTAGTCACTTGTTAATCATGCTAGTGACATGCTAGTCACTTGCTAATCATGCTAGCAACATGCTAATCATGTTATGCTGCGTTCAAGTCCTCCTGGGACGTTCGTACTTTATCAACATTTATATAATCTATCTAAATGTTCAAACTTCAGGCTTTTACAACTGCTTTAAACTTTCAGGCTAGGCTTTCTCAAGCCAACCTAAAGTTTGTCTTGATGAACCTTTTTATCTAGTTGTAATATGTAATAGCTGTTGATCATTATTTACTGAAATTGTTATTGTCTAAAAAGCAGCGTTGCATTGCAGTGTGTTGCGTGTGGTAACTGCAGTGTGTTTGCAGGGATTTCTGTCGTTCATGAGCGCTCCTCTGATCGGTGCCTTGTCTGATGTTTGGGGCAGAAAGAGCTTCCTGCTGCTCACAGTGTTTTTCACCTGCGCCCCCATCCCACTAATGAGACTCAGCCCATGGTACGGCCCGCGTGTGTGTGTGTGTGTGTGTGCAATCACATTACTCTCAAGTGACTAAAGCTCTTTGGCCACGTTGAAAAGTCTCTGCAGCTCATTCTACATGAGAGACAACCCCTTTGTTCAGCCAAAAATGAAAATGTGCTGTAAATGTGCTCACTCTCAGTTCATCCAAGATGTAGATGAGTTTGTTTCTTCATCAGGTTTGTAGAAATGTAGCATTGCATCAGTGTCTCAGCAATGGATGCTCTGCAGTGAATGGGTGCCGTCAGAATGAGAGTCCAAACAGCTGATAAAAACATCACAATAATCCACAAGTAATCCACAGCACTCCAGTCCATCAGTTAACATCTGGAGAAGACAAAAGCTGAAACTAATCCAGCATTAAGACGTTTTTAACTAAAATACATAGAGTCTATAATCCATAATAACGCTTCCTCCAGTGAAAAAGTGTTCTGAATCGGGAGAGAAACTGCACAGATCAAGCAGTGTTTAAACAGCTCTAAACAAATATGTGAGAGACAACAGGAGATGCACTTTTTCACTGGAGGAAGCGTTATTATGGATTATGGACTGGTATTTCAGCCGGAAGTAGCAGTTTTCAGCACATTTTCATTTTTGGATGAACTGTTCCTTTAAAGTGGAAAGCATTGGTTTTATGATGTGACTCTCTGTTTCTGTAAGTGTTTCTGTTGGTGAAATGTTTGACCTTGATTGATTCAGCGCACCTAAAGCATAAACGTGATGTGTTTGTGTGTTTCTGTCTCTCTTCATCAGGTGTTTCTTTGCTCTAATGTCCGTGTCTGGGCTTTTCTCGGTTACATTTTCTGTGATATTTGCGTATGTGGCTGATATTACAGAAGAGCATGAAAGAAGCACAGCGTATGGACTGGTAAGAACACCTGTCACTGGATTATGACACATTTATCAGTTTTATAGAGTTAATTTTCCTTGTGATTTTGTACCTAAAATAGAAATGATTGTTTATTGGTGATGGATAGCATACATATTCTGTTTATGCATACATATATATATATATATATATATATATATATATATATATAACATTTCTAC